GGTGTAAATGATCTAAATACGTAGTTTTTACGGGTGCACGTAACCCTTGATATGTTTGAATCACCCGTAATTTTTAGGGGTGCGCGGGATGGACATCGGTGGGCACCGCGAAGAACGTCGCCGTTGTACTTGTTGCAAGGGCTACTCTCTGTATGGTGCAAGTCGATTTTTTTCTACTGGCCTCCCTCGTTCCAACTCTTGGAACAAATTGTCCGGGCAATGCTAACTCTGCAATAGAATCAGATTTAGAGGAGCTGTGTTTTTCCGGCTCACGCTTGCGTTGCCGCGCAATTTAACTTCAATCTCAGAACCCATTTCAACCGACCCGTTGTCGTAGACACGCGTTGATTCTACGCGGAAACCTGGCGCACCCTCACACTACCGCCGCTTTGGGACACTTGCCCTCTCCGACCATCTGCCAGCATACGTCCTCCCCGGCTCTCAGCGGTACCACTTCCGTCTGGCCAAACTTGTACGATCCCGGAACCGTCCATTTCTCTTTGACGAGGGTTAGGGCCCCTTCGTTTCGGGGGATGCCGTAAAAATCTGCCCCGTGGTGACTGCTGAAACCAGCAAACCTGTGACGTAAACGCAGATTACACGTAGAGGGGGTGCAATCATTGATTGCGCGACGAGGGTCAGCGATCTGGAGGCATTTGGGTGTGTGTGCTGTTGTGGGCAGAAACGGGCACTTTGGTCGACGCGAACAAGATTACACGCTACAACAAAACCGGAAGTAGTCGACATCAGGAAGGTCCAAGTACAGATCGCCGTGATCAAGTCGCTTTCAGCACTCAAAGTGTCACTTCCGGAGCGTACGACACAATGCGCATTCAGTACCAGACCGTTCTTCTGTTGTAGGAATGCTTTGGAATTACGCAAAAACAAATCATTGCGGCATTGACGGTCAAACTAAGCACATGATTTTGCTCCTAATCTTCTGATTGCTGCCGATCTTGTCTCAAATGTACCAAGAACGGTGTGTGTGTGCGCGTGCGCTCGTCGGCACAGGAAATTGTTCGTATTGCTCCAACGACTCGACCCAAAGTCACAAACCTGTCTAGAGCCCCTTCGCCCTCGAACACTTCGCAGTATAGCTCGAGAGCCGCATGGCCCGTGAAGATACCAGCACAGCCTGAAATTGCGGTACGACCAAGAAAATAACGGGGATTTCCGTGTAACTCTGTATCCTCGAATCTTCCCCGTAGCACAATTGAGCACGGGGTAGAGGGTAGAGGGCAACACCCCGAAGTAAGCAAGCATATGTAAAGCACTGAGCAGATGCGTGTCGTGTGCCGTAACTCACCGCAAGAAGAAATCTTGGCTTCTCGAGCGTGCGGCGCTGTGTCCGTCCCAAGAAAGAACTTCGGGTTTCCACTGGTGGCCGCTTTTACGAGGTCAAGCCGGTGCGTCTCGCGCTTTAGGACGGGGAGGCAGTACATGTGTGGTCGGATACCCCCCTGTCGAAAGGTAAAGCGAAGGTAACGGGCACGGGGCACAACATGTTTCATTGGAAAGTAAGATTATGCCTCGGCATTAGGGAGGCAACTACCTGAGCGTTTACATTATCGGGATAAAGCCATCCGAATGCGATGACCAGACACGGCGAGCATCAACTCCCACCGCACGAAAGTATGCTTTCGTCTAAAGCCACCCGAATGCGATGACCAGATACGGCGATCATCAACTCCCACCGCACGAAAGTATGCTTTCGTCTGCATCAGAATTGAGGTCAGACTCAACGCTGACGTGCCTGGAAAATGGCGTTGCGGTTGTAGAGCAGGTGCTGCGGCGTTATGGTAGCTGCCACGTTCGCCGGTGCAGCCGTCACGAAAGCAACGGCCTCCGATGTGGTGATATGCTCCATTACCACTTTCAGGTTTGGCAGCTTCTGAACTAACGGCTGGAAAAGGAAGGAGGGACAATCGGAGTGAGCGAAGAGGGGGGTGATGCGTGTAATGCGTTGCAGGAGCAGCAGGCTCTAGCGTTCACCCAACACATCTGCCGTGGTCAACAAACACCACGAGCAACAAAATCACGATATTGCATTTGATGGCATCGTCGCAGGCATGCTGTCCACAAGAAAAAAAGACGCCGAGGGCATGCGTGCACGAGAAGATTTCACGATTGGTGCCCTGCCAAGAAAACAATTGGGAGCATATACCGTGGTTACCTTTATCACTTCCTCGATAAATCTGGCTTCTTTATCGAAGATGTCCACTCCTGCCGTGGTCACCTCCCCGTGGATCAACAGCGGCATCCCCACTTCTGCCATGGCCTAAATGGAATACCCGCAAGACCGAGAGTGGCACGCACGACGAACGTCCTTTCAGGGTTCGAACCATGCTAACAGCGACAGGAATAGGTTCGTGGTGGATTCACAAATCCTCACTGAGGCAGGTCTCGAGTTTCGAAACTATGTAGGCAACCAAACGCCTAGCGGTATGTGCCTGTCAATCATGTGCTGTTTGCCACCAGGAGCACACTGAACCTGAAAATAATCGCAAAGTTTGCCCTATACCGTGTAAGTCTACAGCGAGAGCGTGTCCGTCAACACTTTACCCACCCACCTCCATTGCCGGAGCTACGTTGGCCAAATCCGTCACGCCTGAGTCGGAGTTTGTGGTTGCTCCTGCACGGAAAAATACTAACGAAATTTAGTTTCTTGTACAGAATTTGGCAGCACAGGCGACGGTGGAAGGTAGGAATAAGCCTCACTGATATGTACGACAAGTGAATCAACAAATCTCGCTCGGGAGCAGACTGCTGCAGGATGCATACAATGTATGTATGCATGGAACGAATGTCGTGTCTACATGGAGCATCCTCACCTGCTGGGTAGAGCTTGACAGCATACACGTGGCCACTCGCCTTGGCCTTCAGAATCTCTTCCGGGCTGCCGTGAACAGAATGAATGGTCATTGCGTGAGCGGGCGGGGGTAGATACTATCGATATCTGCGTAATCAGTGGTGCTATCGCAATGTACTCTGGGCGGTCGGGCGAATGACTCCATGCAGCTGAAAGCAGCCCGAAGCAAGGACGGGATCAAGCCAAGAGATTGTAAAATTAAAATAAGAACCACCGTGGGATCAAGGTGACAACACGTGAAACAAGGACAAGGCTTCAAACACCTGGGGCAACATCAGCAGTTGGGTGATATCAGCCTTTGAGAGCCCTCAAGCCAGGCTAGAAAAACGACAAGAGCGTGAACTCAAGCCGCGGCAGCGTAGAACAAGACCAACAACAGTACGTTCGACCAGACCACCTTCGTGCAGAAATATATCTAACACGTCTCTCCTTCACCCAAGCAACAGCACATTTGATTGGGTGAGGTGCGCACGAACACATTCGCCACATGTAGTTCGGTGTCGGGACCCGGTCGCACGAAAAGCGCCGTTACAGTGCCAAGATACTCGCACACACCGCCGTACCAATCGTACCGAACGTCGTGCCTTCGGAGCTTGTCAATTTGTTGTTTGTTGTCTGGAGGAGCTTGCGCACTGCAAATTGGCAATCCACAAAAAAAAGCGGTAGTCCATGCCCAACGACATTATACCCGTTAGTCTATTCAACTGCTGCATGATAAGCCAAGCTACTGAACAATGCTGTCACATCCATACGTTTTGCGTTTGGAAGAGTTCGACAATACTCGTATGCATACAACTCACGTAGACTTGTCTGTCATATACAGCGTCATCAAAGGCGTGAAGTCCACTCCGTCCGGCACACATGCAAGGATGCGCTGTAGCAATGGGCCAGCACGTTAGTTTGCGAATTCAGATTAGCTTTCGGCTTTAACCCTCCCAGTGCCTAGTCCCTCCGAAAAAAAGATGTCCCAAACATTTGAAAGCCATTCAGTTGGTCGAGGGGCTACAGTTCCTCCAAGTCTGAGCTCCTTGCCAGACAGAGGGTGAATTGGTATGAAAAGTGTCTAATTTTGGCGACGCTTTTCATACCGAAGCCAAGTCAGCATTTTTTTTCCAGTACCAGGCGATGTGTGCAGCAAGTCAGAGGCCTAGGAGAGGCATTACACAGCATATCACACAGCGTACCACCTCAGGCAAGCATGATAGACCAAGGGTTATCACGATCGTTGCACACAGCGGAGCCTACGTAGCGTGACTACAGTGCGGTATATAGGCAGTTGAGTGCTGTATCCCCAAAGTGACCCCACTTGGGCTTCCAGTACTAGTAGGGTTGAGTCTGCCGTATTAAATAGTACATGGACACAACAATCGTGCGTACCGCAGCACAAACAGCAGGTGTTCATACTCCGATCAAACGGTCTTTTGTACAATTCACAACTTCAACTTCAATCCGTGCGTGTTCTCTACATGCAGAGCGAACAATAGCCCTTGTGGTCCAAAGCGACATTATGAACAATACTTTGTACGCGCTTCTCACTGCACCAGCATGCGTGAGGAGCATGAGCACTCACTTGGCGGTACGCCAATGCCTCGTCTGTTGTTGTCACCGGCGGCTTCAGGTTCGGCATGGCAATCTGCGAGAAACGCACAGCCGAGGTAGCGCACAAACCTAGTTCGAAGAGAGCGAGAGAGGGAACGTAAATCCCGATCATGCAGTGAACGGATAGAACAAGCCCCACCGAACAGCACGTATGTGCAACACGCCAGGCAGCAAGTACATCACCATGAAACTCTCACCGCTCGTCGAAACATCCGTGTTGCGTGTTTCACGGTGTCCGCAAGAACCTCGCCATCGCGAAAGTGGTGATGGAAATCGTCGGCTTCAAGAATAGTTATCTCGACCCTTTCGGACATGGCTTGTGCGAACAGCTCGTGTGTGTGCACCTCTGCGTGTGGCAGGACCAGGTGAGAAACAGACAGAGCAGACAAGCGGTTGGGTGCGCGGCGAAACAGCAACAACATTGTGTGTTACGACGTCAGACGTTTGAGGCCCCGCGCATGAGAGCGCACGGGGGGGTCTCGCAAATGGAGGACCCGATTGGAGACCATCATGATCGTGCCACACGCATCGCTGATCGCGTGTTTGACATCATTGCATTGCCACAGCAGCAAGCAGACTGCAGAACAAGGGAGCTCTCCCGTGTGCCACCGTGTTCGCTCGGCGAAAATGGGGATCACTGGTCTCCTTCCGTTCCTGAAGAGCGTCACCTACCCAACACATATCAGCGAGTATCGTGGTCTTAAAGCGGGGGTGGATGCCTACTGCTGGTAAGATCAGACGGCAGGACACCCAGACGCGCTGCGTAGGCAGGTCTCCTACTAGTACATTGCCCGTTGCTTACACTACAGTAAGTTTCAAACTGGTTGCCCCATGCGTCTCACGTAAACATCAAGGTTCCTGAGTGTCAAATCAAGATATTGAACAACCGTATTTTTGTCGTTTTTCAAACTTTTGAGCCGTCATGTCGCGTGCCCTCCATGTTGGAAGTGTTCTCCGTTACCCGTTACCAGTGATGAGGAAGGGCGCCGATGCAGTACGTTTTTGCTGGTTTTACAATGCATATTATCCTATTGGTCTTAATTTTCATTTTTGGGGACGTCTGTGTGTATGATGCATAACCTACAATGGGCATATCGTAACGTCGGAGTTTTCCCCCCGGCGAGGGGATCGTTTTTTTTCTGAAACCAAACCGGTAAATTGACGTACCGTGGGGGGGGGGCGTACTCTTATGTTTTGCATGCCTTAGCGGTTAGACCATTGACCACGCGGCCTTGAGAGGACAGAGCATTGTTCCCACAGGACCGATCACCGATGGCCAATCGCTCCTTTCTACTTTGCCAAAGGTGGCTCAAAAATGTCTTCCCTAGTCTCTCTGTCCTAACGATATATCCCTTCCTGCCTTTTCAACCCACCTCCTATGCCCCAGTACAGCTACCGTCCTTTCCTCTCTATTCCATGCCTCAAACATCTCCCTGTACGTCCCATCTATTTTTCCCAGCTCAGTCACGTACACTTCCCTCTCCTTCTTGTACCACGGACATTCCGCGACTACATGAACACGGTCGTCGCATTCGAAGCCGCAATCACATTTGAACTCGTCGTCTTCCTCGTCTACCGTCCTATGTCTTCGTCGACGTTCTCGAAGG